CAGTAACAGCAGCAGGAGGAGTAGTAGTCGTCGGCGTAGTAACTAGTACTAGGAGAAGTAGTAGTAGCAGCAGCAGCAGCTGCAGTAGTAGTAGTAGTAGTAGTAGTAGTAGTCGCAGCAGTAGTAGTAGTAGCGGCGTAGCAGTCGTCGTAGTCGTCGTAGTTGTAGTGGTAGTGGCGGTGGTGGTGGTGGTGGTTTGGTAGTAGTAGCCGTCGTCGCAGCAATACTACTACTAGTCTAGTACCTAGTACTAGTATTCCTGATCACACTAGCAAAGAATGCTGCGAAATTTTTCCAATAGACAAAGCACAGGCAGGACATCAGTTCCGCCTGTTCCACTACGACGACGACAACGACGAGGGTGGCGACTGCGACGGCGACTACGACGACTGCAGACGGAGAGTTTGGACCTCCCACGATGGGGGGAGCAAACCCTAAAACGTAAGCCGACGTAACCTAACAGTAGAACTACAACATCGTGAGAGAAGCTAGTGGATGGCAAGTTTACACTTAAAAAGAGATGTTGCATCGCAAACGCTATCCGAGGCCAAACGGAGCTGATGGATGGCAAACCTTAAAACATCCCTGACCGAGAGGAGCAACACTGCACCCAAAAGGAGATGATAGAATGCAAAACCTGAAATAAATCCTAAGGTGGGGCCTTAAAACCCCATCATAGATGGCAAGCGGCAAGTCCTAAACCGCAAAAGGACACCCCCTGGATTCTGACAGCTGACACGGCAGAAAACAAGTCAGATTGGACCGAAATCTCTTACCTCCTTGGAGTGTTTAGACATTCGAGTGTTCAAGATGTCGCTGTCTCCATTTCGCAGGGTTGGGGTTCGCAACCGTCAGGACTTTCTGGGTTTCAGGTCCCAGAGCATATCTCCCCTGTACTGCACAGGCTGTAAACGCCTTGTTTCCTTTCAGGGGTTCGGGTTTCGCAGCCATGAACTCCTTTTCACGTTTCGGGTTCAGGTTCCGATGCTGACACGAAAAACAAGAGAGTCATGCTAAGTACAGATTGTCGGGTCGCCATGGCCCGAGGCTTTGTTTGGCGACAAGTGCGGCATAGCAAGGTTTAAGGGTTCGCGCTAGTCAGTTTCCCACCGGCACACGTTTGTTCTTTCGTTTCGGGAGAGATACAGCTCCACAGGAGACTTTAGCACACCTATACTAAAACTGTTGAGGTACAATATCGGACACAACAGTGTGCGCACGTTTCAACCTAAGCAAGGCTTGCATCAGCTAGTGCATAAAGCTTGTGGGGCGCGGACCCTTCGGCATCCTTCGGCCCTTCCCAGTGCCCCAAAGGATGCCCAGTGCACGAATCGGTTTCTTACCGTTCTCCGGAGGTTTGACAAATGGCGACGAAGCGGTAACGGGGTGTTGGTCAAATTGGCAACCGGAACTGAGTCAAATCCCACTGCTGTGCGAGGGTGATCAGGTGCAACTCTTGCATTCTCCTATACACATTGGTGGACATCGCCAACTGTCAAAAACAACTCTTCTTCGCCAAACGGGATCGGCCGATGTCAGGAAATCAAGGCGGGGATCTGAGGAAAGGGAGCAGGAAGATCCCGGGGCGAAGGCAGACAAGAGCGAGGGACATTCCGGAAGCAGATGCTGCAGACGCAGCCGAAACAAACGGCCACAAAAACAATTCTCCGAGGTCTCCCTCGATTCTGGCTTCGGTCACCAACAGATGTCTGCAGCAGCGAGTGCCTCGGGAATCCTTGCATGGATGCTTGCCTTGAGACCCCGTCCAACTGTGAGGCTGGCCAGAGACATGGGCCTGCAAGTCGAGCAGCGGCGCATGGACTTCCTCCAGGCCAGACAGTGAGACATGGTGAAACCCGATGAAACCCGTAAAAGTCGATGATCTGCAAGGAGGTCAACACCTTCAGCGAGGTGGCGGCCGTGGGCACTGCCGCAGTCGTTCTGCCGATAAGGTCAGAAGTTCATTCACAGGAGGAAAAGCATTTGGCGGATCGGCTACTGTACAGGTCGCTGACCATGCAGGAGAAGACCTTCCACTTCGAGAAGCATGAGGTCATACGACAGTTACACATCGCACAAATGCGGGAAGCCTAGGGTTGTCGGTCTTTCTGCACAGGTGATGGCCAAGCTGAAGACGCAGCTGGAAGCCATTCAAGTAGGCGTCAGCGCGAAAACTTGCAGAGAACAGTCAGCTGTAGAAGTCGATCAGTTATTGCATAAGAAGAAGCTGATAAGCTGGGACAGCTCTTCGGGCTCAGCGAAGTACTTTTTTTGAGGTGAACAGACCTGAATTGCCCCGGCAGGTGATGCGCCGGACACGCACGGATGGACAAGGAGAGATTTTCTCTACAGGTGTTTTGATCAGTAGCTATACGTGTCGAAAATTTGCCGTCATGCGGCTGAAGAAGAGTTCCAGTCCAGCCACGTTGCTCGAGGATCGTTGTTCCCGGTTCGTCTCCGCAGGCTGGTTGCGAACGATGCCGGTGGTATAGCTGATCGTTCAGCTTGTGCAGCAAGGCGAAGACTTTCTTACTTGATTCGGCTACAGTGCCTGTAAGCCATGTCCCAGCCCTTGCTGCACAGAAAATTTCGTTCAGATTCGCCGGATCTCCAAACTCCAGACCCCGTCCTTTTCGTGTGCCTTTTATCAATCGCACAGCCCGTCAGACGGAATAGACATGTTGCGGCTCAAAGGTGCCGAACGGGCCTCGGCGGGGCCTGGGAAGCCTCAACGAAAACGAAAAGCTTAGGACAAACGGACAAACTCTTGAACTTGAAACCTGAGCGAAGGGTTGCAGCTTCAAGGGGTAAAGCAATGGTTTTGTTTGAGAGTCAAGCTTCTTTGTCGGAATCCTTAATCAGGATTCCACTACATTGGATCCATGTTAAGGGCCCCTGCTTTGGAAACTTCCCTGCCGTTGTGACACCCGTGTTTCGGCTTCTCGCCGAAAGACCAAGCCCCGAAGTTGCTGTCAGGCCCGGCTGTGAGAGCGAAGAACCGGTACCGACTGCTTGGCCAGCTCGGCCACTTCGGAAGGCCAAAGAAGCCGCAACTGAGTCTGCGCTTTGAGCTTGAGTGAACGTGCATTGTACAAAGGCATTTCAGGGTGATTCACTCGAACACAGAAGGGCATCGAGAAAGGAAGCCTATCATTAAAACGACTTGTATGCAGTGCGCAACCTGTTCGGGCGACATTCCATCAGTGAATCTTTCCCGATTTTCCAGTTAATTCCAGAGATTCCGTCAACGTCAGGAAGCTGCTGGAAAAATTGGGGTCAATCTTATAGGTTGCGTTGTGCTTCTCGTCTTGTTGGTTGATACGTGTTGTTTGTTGCTTGTTGATTGAATATGAATATTCTGAATAGTGTTTGAAGCTTCGTGCTTGGATGTACTTCGTGATGCGTAAAGCGGGAATGGAGAAGGAAAATATGATGAAAAAGAACCTTTTCAAAGGCTACATCCAGGGGTCATTCTTCGGTGGATTTGTCTTGCGGCCATTTCATCGTTGAACCCCCGTGCAATCCAGTTCAGCCTGTGCATGACTTCTCTTCTCTATCGCGAAGCATGCTCGAGATGGATGGGGGCTGCACAGAATCGAGGAGTGGTTTTGTATGACCTTGCAGTTTAGTTTCCTTCCTCCGGGAATTTTCAAGCAAACGTCAGAGATAATGCATGCTAGACATGCAGGGCGATTGTTAATAGCGACAATAGCGAATGTGGTGCAGGCTGTAAATGTCTTTGCTTGGTGCAAGCGTATATCAACAGTCTCGGACAGTCAAGTTCCGTTTTCGTTTGTCCTGCACTGTCCTGCTTTTCGACAATGTGTACTGTAGCACTGCGCATCCTATGCTGACACGAGTCCAGAGGCTGGACACACGCTTCCGCGAACTCCAGCGACGGGGCAACGAGATAGCAGGTGATAGCAGCAGGCCGGAATTTCGACAAGTGGGTATGATATGAGAGGGAGAAAAGGACTGTTTATCCAGATCAACTGGTCCTCAGCTGCGCAGGCCTATGAAGGAGATTGATGCCAGCGAGTACTTGCGAGAGTTGGAAACTTTCCATGCCGAGCAGGACTGCCTCAGCATAGTTAAAAGCAACTCACCTCATCTCAGCGACATCTAATGCATTGACTTGTACTGGGCATCAGGAACGGTATGTCGAGCAGGTCAGGGAGATCCTCAAATCCAACCCCAGCTCAGGCAGTGCACCTGTCGCGAGCAAAAAACAACCCTTCACAGCAGCGAAGTGCAGGTGCCCCAGGCGCTCCTGGAGCTGGGGCTGGGATCCTTGGCAGCGCTCGGCTCGAAGATCTGCGAGGTGCGAGTGCTTGAAACCATTGCATGTGATCATGTGAGCAGTCCGAAAATGCCGGGGCTGCACGTACGTGGGAAGTTGCACGGGTGCAACAGAAGGGGCTCGCGAAGGCCCTGGAGCCATCGGTGCCGGCACGAGCATGCCCATGGCAGGCCCCCCCGAGCCGACTACAAGTCCTCGTTTTCGTTTTCCACTGGAACTTGAGAGACTGGAACGGTAATGAATGGTAGTTTGCAAATGTCAAGGTATGCCAAACGCAGCTCCGTCTGGAGTGGGGCTTGGCATGGCCGGGTCAGGACTCCGGACTGGCCCTGGCTCTGGCATGAACCCACTGGGCAGCGGACCTGTGCAATCCCAGCCCAACCTTCCAAGCGGATTGGGGGGTGGCTTTGGCAAAGCCCTCCCAGTCAACAGTCTTCCCAGCTTGGGCGGGGTAAACTCTGCGAGTGGTGCAGCGGGCATCCGCCAGGGCCTCGTACGCCATTAGTTTCCTGGTGCAGCCGTCCTGTACATGCCTGTACCATTCCTCAGGACCTGACATGCGGCTGCCAAAGATTGAGGTGCCCTGTTGAGCCAGCCGCAGCACTCTGTCAGCCTTCGACTTGGTTTCAAGCCGCGAGCTGTCAGGCACCTGGACTCTCGAGTCTTGAGGAAATGGGAAGTGCACCACGCTCAGCAAGCGCAGCTACTAGCTTTTATTCGGCCACAGACAAGGAAACCACTGTCAGATGATGGAAGCTGTAGGTATGCGACAGGGTGCGAAACGGTTTGGCCAAATGGCGTCAGTCAATCAGATCCTACAGCGCCCGAACCGGAATTACAAGCTCCCATCAGGACCGCAAGAAGCCACAAATCGGATCAGACAAAGTGCAAATTGGGCCCCGGCACTCCAGCAGAGATTGCCAAGCTCATCTCCCGACGATCCGCAAAGTCCCTTTATGGGAAGACAGGCTTGCCTACCATCAGGAGCTTAGAGTTTCGGGCTTCCGGTGCCCCAGTCGTTCATTATATTGCGTAGTTTTTCTTGGAACCTGTCGTTGACGATGATGCGAGGTCTTGCGCCCAAAACGGGCGACCTCATGACGCAAATCCAAAACAAGAACCGGCGCATTCTGTGCAACCGCAAAACTGCATGTTTTCCGTTTTTAAATTATATACGAGATGGCCAAGAGCAGAGTTGATGATATCAATACACGTAAGGATGCGGAGGCGGCTACTTCCAACAACCAGGGATTTTAAGGGGTGTTGGATCCTGAAATCTCCATGTGGCTTGTCAGCACCGGGCAATTGGCCATTCAGAGCAGATGGGTAGAAGGGGATTGGCAAGCACAACAGAGTGGTCCAGCAGCAGCCAACACTGCCACAGGTTTGCAAACGAGAGTCAAAGTAAATGTGGCAAGGCAATGCCTCAACGGCATCAGCATGGTGCGAAACATCCTGAGTTCTGTTTTGCGCAGCAGGCTTTGATCCCACACATTTGGCATCCCAGGAGTGCAGGAGAGCGTGTGCGAAATGTCAGGGACCACAACACTCGTGAGAGCCGATGTGACAGATGTTGGCAGCACAGTTTTGCACACTGGCGTCGCTGCTTCGCAGAAACTCAAGACGAGGTGAAGCTGAACACTGCGGTGTTGCCCGACAGTGGCACAAGCGTTTGCAGTGGAGGCTTCAAGCGAGCTTTTGCACGAGTTGGGTGTGGTAGGGCCGGCGATTGAAATAAAAGCGGCAGGTGCATCGTGCGGCGAAAATCAGAGCCGCCAGAGTTAGACTCCTCCGGTCAGGCATCGGATTTTGTACCATAGGTGCAGCCGCTGCGGGGTTTAGTATAGGCGATGCACCTGCAAAAATCTGCGGAGTGCACTCCACCCTGCACGTTGGCGCCCACGTGGAAATGCTTTCGCAGGTGTCACAGAATCATACAGGCCGAAACCGTCGGAGAAGCTTGTTCATCGGATCAATGCGACTTTTCAGCTTGAGTGTATGAATCTGGAAGTCACATCCTGCAATCCAATGACTGGCCTGCAACTTTAGTACTGTGGTGCGTACTGGGTTTGCAGCCAATACCGCGGGAAGACAGTTTTTTCAATTTTGAACATATCTGCAATGGTTGGGTATGTTGCTTCCGCCGCAAGGCCCGGGAGTCTTTGATATGACCGAGACAACGCAGTTGCTTTTAGACTCCGGAGCCGCTTGCGGCTGTCTCACCTGTATACCCAACCTCCAACGCCAGCTCAGGGCATCCTTGAATGGCACCGGTGAGTCGGCATAGGAACTTCAAAGACATCGGCCAAACAAACTTCTACCTCGGATTCTCATCCTCTCACCTGCGTAGGCCCCTCGTAGCCACCCGTGCTGATCAGAGCAATCGGAAAGGCATAGCAATGATTCTCACCGTGAGCCGCAGAAGCGTCGTGCCGCAGTTTGCCCAATGAGCTGTGGGCTCTGTAAAAGCAGAAGCTGACAAGGCGTGCTGCATGATGTATTCAGCTTCTCGGGTGCCAGGGTGCAACATGTGGCAACCATCGCATAGCAGAGCTCACTATGCATTCACGATGCTTTGCCTCTACGTATAGGCTCCCGGCTCCTGCGATTTTCCAGCCCTGTGTGTCAGCAGCTGGTTGCCGACGTCCGACTAGCTTCCACGGAAGCATGGAGAGGCGAAAAGCTGCAAGGTATGTGCAGATGTGTTGTGCCGCCTTCTGCCGAACTTCTGGCGTGATGCTCAGTTGCTTCACAAGCGAACAGGAGCGTATGGTCTGGCAGAACCCTCAGCCCCCACACGGTTGGCTGTACCTCAATTGTAAAGCATACCAACTGGAATTCTGAAGATGCCGCAGCTTTTTTGCTGCTGTGAAAGAAGCGCAAGATGCGAACGCTTTTTGGCAAGAAGAAGGACAAGGAGCAATCTTCGGTTGGAGATCCCTTCATGTCAACTCAGGGTAGATGAACGCTCGCTGGCGCTGTGTTTTCTACTCCTTCCCAGGACAGCTCTGAGAACTTCAGCAGCGTGTCGACTCCTTCGTTGCCCCCTGCAGCACCAGCCGAAGAAGGCTGGCTGAGTCGACTCACCAACCACCTTGTCCGCCTATGGCTTTGAGGCTGCTCTGACCTCGCCTTTCTCCCGAGTCGCCCGGTCGGTGATTGGCCGCCCGCGCACGCGGCCTCAGCTGCTGGCTCTGTCTCTGTGTCTCTGTGTGTGTGTGTGTGTGTGCGCGGTGGGGGGGGTGTGGGCTCGGGGGCGGTGGGTGGTAAGCGGGCGGGGATGGGCGGGGATGGGCGGGGCTGCGGGTGGGGTGCGGCGCACTGGGAAGATCGATGATCTGTCACCCCAAGTGTCGCGGCATAGCTGCAGCTTGCCTCCCTTAGCAGACCGTCTGAGATCTTACGACACCACACGAGGTTGGCAGATCGGCGAAGGCCAGTTGACACGGAGGCGCGCAAAAGCTTGATTGCGGTGAGCAGGGTCTTTGCATGCCTGGGGCGCGCGAAGTCCATGGCAGTACGTCCCTCCTGATATTTCCGGGCAAATGATGCCCGCTTTACACCAGCCAACAGCTCTGGAGCGTCGGGGATGCAGGCATGAACTCGAGAGAAAGTGCAGGCTGTGGTTTCTCTACACTCTACAGTGATTATATGATGCACAGCAGGACATCCCGCTGCCTGGGCGGAAGTCCAAACTGGCAGGCAGGTTGCTCTTGTGTTGGCAGGCATGTTCTTTTTGCGAAGCATAGTCCAAACGTTGGTCGGAGAAGCGACTCGCACCGTCGTGCGTTGGACTAATCAAGGGGGGATGCCAGCGCAACTGCTCGAGTCCACACACTTTTTGAACAGGCCTTTTCGACGAAGACGTGGCAACGGAGGCACCAAAATCAGAGCACTTGGAGGCGCACGCTGCGGCCCACAGAGATCCCGACTTATTCTTGGATTCTCGCTGGTCATCTGCAGCCCCACAGACAGCCCCAAAGGTGAAGGTGCCGGCGGCGGCACCCAGCGTACCAGGTGCCATCGTGGTACTGCTTGGTGTTTCAGTGATCTTCAGTGTTGTTGTAGCCTGCAGGTCCATCTCCGGCCACCATGGGAGATGCCAAGGTGCCTTCCCAGAAGTGAGCACAAAGCAAGTCAAGTGGACCTCTTGACTCTTGCAATCTCGCCAGCATAGCTTGTCACAATCACAGAGTGATGGGCCATGAGCTGGCATGCGTCCAGATTGAGTCAGTGATTGAGTCTAGATCTGCTTGTCACTATGTTACGATGTTGCCTTGTCGGAACAGCCGAGAAACTGACCGGTGGTCTAAGCCAAGCAACACAGCACGGCCTGCCACAATCTCGCCGGCCCAAGCACGGGTACTGTACTTCATAAGCATTCAGCAGCATTTATACGCCATGCTGCCTCCGAGCCATGGCGGCGCAAGGTGACTTCGTAGAGCGTCGCGATGGTCAGAGTCAGGAGAGAAAGGTCTTCCTCATCAGAGGGACAGACCTAGAGATCCTCGCTTGCATCGCACGTAGCACTGCGCTTCCATCCTGGTGACAAGTTGCCGTGAAGCAAAAGTGTGACGCCCAGGGTTGGTGGCGAGTCTATTTCGTCCGAATGGACAACAGACTCGGAAGCTGAGCAGGCCCTGCAGGCCCTGCAGGCTCAGAAGGGAAGCCGAGGGCTGGAGGTGCCTCGGCGCAAGGACACATTGCCCGCTCCCGTGCCGTGAGATGCCGTGAGCCGTTTGCCGTGTGCCGATCGCATTCGCCGCAGCTGCTGAACTTTTTATTTTAGAAGCACAACACTTGTAGCATCATGCGGTATGATACCATGTGATCTTCAGGACTGCCCCATGGTGACACCCTCTCAGCATTGTCAGGGTGCTGAGCAGTTGAAACAAAATCTTCAGACTCGGCAGTGCCTCTGGAGTTGTAAGATGTGCTAGTAAGAGTCTTGCTTATTTTGCATCGCATAGCCATGCAAAAGCTGGGCCCGCCATGTCTCCTCCTCAAGAACTCGATCACGGTGAGAGGCTCAAGCAGAAGTGCAAGAAGAACAAGATCGTCCAATCATTAGCAGAGGTGAGTCCAGCAAGCGGCACGAGTGGCTCTCGTGCTTCCGAGCCTTCAACTTTCTCTCTCGAATCATCGACTCAGTCAACTTTGAGTACCTCAAAGCACATATATCAGGAGATCACGAGGACAAACCCCAAGGCCAGAGAGAGCTGGCAGCCTCAAGTTCCATGGCTTCGAGAGGATCTCCGAGAGGATGGCACTCTTCGAGCCCGACCCCTTCGTGAGAAGGACAATGGAAATGGAAGGCCGAGGCCAAGGCCAAGGCAGGACGAGGACCAGGACTGGCAGAAGGACAGGAGCGTAAGACATTCAGAAAGAAAAGCGGAATGGAAGCACGACAAGCGCGAAAGGTGGACTGACGAAGAGTGGCAGTCCTGGCGAAGCCAGTGGCAGGCAGTGCCAAACTACGAGTCGGGCAGGTCTGAGAGTCTGCAGTCTGGCTGGGGAAGCTATGTGCAAGTCTCAGATGACGGGCTTCTCAGTATTCGCCTAGCCAGAATGGGACTTGATGTCCGTGCAATACAAAAGTTTTGCGCATGGCTCCCAACAGAGCTACAGCGCTTGAAGCAGGCGAAGGTTCGAACGCTGTACGTCTCCAGTGAGGACATTGTCTTGGCTTATGATGTAGATCTTTCTCAGAATGACTTGGATGATGAGGCGATGAGGATCCTGCTCCTGACTTTGAAGCAAGCCAGGGTGGTCATTGGAGTTGCAAAGTTCTATCAGAATAGACTTAGCTGCCGCAGCGCCATACTTCTGTCGCAGTGGATCCGATCCGCACCTGGGGTCCTTTTCGAGCTTCACCTTTCTCATAATCAGATCAAGACAGCCGGAGCCCTAGAGCTGATCCAAGCGGTAGCCGAGACCAAGAGTTACCCCTCTGCACGACCGGGTAGCAAAAACTGGCCTTTGCCGCTATGGCTGCGATTGGAGCACAATGATATCCCGGAGGCAGCCAACTTTGAACGTAAAGCGGAGCTTTGTGTTCAGGCTGCTCGACCGGATACGAAGGGAAAGCTGATCTGTTGGTTTGCACCCAGAAATCGATATGGATGCAGAAGTGACAACTGCGGCCATTCTACCGCCAATCATTGTCCGGTGTTTCACATTCCGCACCTGCGCCCGGAGACGCGGAATTGTAAAGTGCCCGTGCCGACTACATCAGACAATGACAAGGTGCAGAAAGCACCTGCGACGCATGACTCTGATCCTTCGGTGGGCATGTCGGGCATGAAGCTCATCGCGCAGGCAGTGGCAGTACCGGCCCAGCCGGCGTGCCACAGCGCGGCCAGCATTGGTGATTTCAGAATCCTGCCACGAAGTGCATGGGTTCGGTTGCATGCTCCTTTTCAGACTACATAGCAGCCAACTTTTAAGCAGCTTTATGCATTACCGGTGGCATTTGCAAGGCCAGGAATCAAATTGACTTCTTGCGGTGTGCCAGCACATGCATGCATTAATTCACGAAGTCTTACATACAGCTCATTTTCCTCGCACAGCCATGTGTGTAGACCGTGTAGAAGTTATGCAACACAATGTCCTGTCCGCTTTGACAGCAGTACGATCGGATCAGTCTGCCCATAGCCTGGAGCTAGGGCTTCTTTCTGCCTGCGGTTCTTGGCCACTGCCTTGCTGATGGTTTGCAAACCCCTCAACGATGCTATTGCCCCAGCCCCAGCCCCAGCCCCAAGGCCCGAAATCCGAAGCGATGTGCGCAGGAAACGACAGTACCTTCAGACGCTCATCGCTGACGCGCGGCCTGTGGCAGAGGAGCGGAAGACCTTCTGCAGCCCAGAGCTTTTGTTCTTTTGCTTGCATAGGCTCTGATACGGTCGAACAGTCTGGACTCCGGCTTTCCGACAAATTTCTACAAGACTTGTGAACAACGCCTTCAACTCTAACAGCGTTTCTTCAGATGGGCAGTCTGGAGCCCTCAGAGCAGGTCAGTGTCGTCTACTCTAACCTAACCGACTTCCACCTTCTTTTTCGCACGGCACCCTAGACTTCAAATTCCACAGAAGAGTTTCTAGCCGGGGCAAAGAAAGCAGACCAAACCAGGTTGAGTCTCCATTCTGCGTCAATGCAGCATTTGTGTTGCTGCGGTTGTTCACTTTGCACGTATGTTTTTTGTTTTTGGGTTTTTCTGCTTAGCAGCTACGGCCTCGCAGCAAAACCTGATGAGGGCATGCGGCAGGGACGCTTCGCGCACGACCTGGCGAGACAGCATGAAAGTGCTACATTCGATCCAGCACGGCAGGATTTCAGAATTGATGCGTGCAATCAGTCGAAAGAGCCCCGTGTTGCCCAGCCACACTGACGAGTACCAAGGCCTAACGTTACAGCAATCTCAAAGCTTTCCGTCAAGGATGGCTTCCTGAGCTCGCCGAAACTTTGGCAAGCCTCGAGTGCTGTCATAAGTCTTTATCTCGGCCTTTGTGAGATTCGGTGCTCGTAAACCAAGATTGGTTCGACAGCGAGAGCAGAGGTTCTCATTCAAAGGTTCTGTGGCGAAACGGAGAAACTGGTTCCACATCTTGAGCCTCCAATGCAGAGCGATGGACATTTTGCATACGCGTTTTCATCCTCACCATGTAAACGCATGAAAATGTGACTTCACGGGACAAGTCGCATCGCAGCAGTGCTGAGGCAAGACTACCCACAGAGACCAGAGAAGCGCCTGCCCCAAGACTCGTTTAAGATCACCCCCTACCGGCCCTACCGCTGACTGCCATTTCTGTCTTCCCCGTTCAACATGTTCGAGACCCAATTACCCACACCCAGGCCCGCAGGCACCCGAGTCCACAAATACCCTCATGTCAACACTACACGACACCCTGTAATACGCAAGCAAAGAGCCTGCAGACACTTCGAGGCTCTGAACCTTCAACCTTGCAGCTTCCACGCTTCCCCGGAGGAGCTGCGAGACAGGGCACAGCTGCCACTGGCAGAGGTGCAGGAGAAGTTGAGGCGCACGGCACACGAAGCTCGCCTTCAGGTCTCAAGGTCGGGGATCCTTCAACTCTACACCTTAGAGATTTGTTAAGCTCCTCCAGGTTTGTAATTACTCGAGCTTTCCCAGATTCGACAGTTTAGGGGCTTTGCATGCACAGGCTTCAGATGGTTGACATCTTTCGTGACGGCCCTGCAACCTCAAACTGAAGCTTTCTTGCTGAGTGTCACCTTTACAAGACTGGGCTCAGATCGTAGGTTTCAGGCTTCCCATCTTGCGAGAAGCTGCAGGGTTTGGGCTTAGCACCGCAGAAGTCGTCCGTGAACTCAGCGATGCCGCTGAAAGCTGAAGTTGATGCCGCGCTGGACTCCTGATCCCCTCAGCCTGGCAAGAGGGGGAACTCTCACGACAGAAGGAGGGAATGCCGGCGGTGAAGACTGGTGAGTCAAGACAACGGGGCCTCCTTCTGCATCCCGCATGAAGACGAAGTTGTCGAAGTAGCGGGCTGGAGAGCCTAACCGGTCGCTGCTGGCGATCGGGTTGTTTTGGAGTAATCGTCGTGCTTATGGTCAGTTTGTTTGATGCCCGCATGGCGTTCACGACCAGTGAGATGCATTCGTTCATCTGGCTCTTGACGTGCAACTTCCAGCCTCAGCTCGTTACCGATAGCAAACGTGGTGGATCCCCTCGTTCTTGCAACACTACATCATGTCACAGTAACATCATCAATGAGAACAGCGGCAATGCCAATAAGTATCGTCATCTTCCTCAGCATCATCACTTCATCATTATTGGCATCCAAGCTTTCGAAGCCCAAGCCTCACCTTCCTCGTCGGGCAGGGTGCTGTGTCCTACAGGCCTAGCCAACATTTGTTTGAAACGTACAGTACGCATTGTTATCTGCCACCAATACAGCGCAGTCCGAAGCCCGAATACAGCACAGTCCGCTTCCAGGCAGTTCCGAAGACTCCAGGCCGCCAAGGAAGCTGCAGAGGCTGCAAAGAGCTCAGCCGCAAGCTGTGGGTGGTTGAGGTTGGCGGCGTCTGCACCCCTCCTGTAAGTTTCCGGCTGGTTTCTCGTTGCGGGCTTGGGGGTAGGCTCGAAACTTCAGGGGGGCGTGAGGCTGCAGGGCCTGGTGGCTTCAGGATTCGGCGTCCAGTTTGGACGCGGACTCCTAGCAAGGTTCAAGGGTTTTCGCACTTGGCGCAAGAGTAGGCTGAGGGCGTTGTGTTCAGCCTGGTTGTTAAAAGTTTACTTCTGCTGATCAATGTATTCGTGTGTGTCCAAGTGTAATTCCATACATGCGTTGGCTGGGTATGTATATATACAAATATCATGAACATCTATGATGAAACTATGCCAACTATACCTGCGCATACTTACAGTAATTTGCACACATACTTGGTAAATTAACACACCGCTCTGTTTCTGTCCTAGCTCGTCCAATGGCAAACCGATGAGGATGTCTCTTGCATTCACTTACCGTCGTTTTCTGACCTGGCCCAGTGCACTACTGCCAGCTACTTGTGATGACCAGATGTTTTTCTACCCTTCTGGCTCTTCTCAAGGCTGTTTGCTTAAGAAGGACCTAGCGCTGAAACCCTTGGTACCACTACTAGCCTCACAAGGGCTACTAAATCCTTGGCTGCTGCTGCTGCTGCTGCGACGGGGCCTCGTACCGCACTTTGTTGATCTTGTTTTCGTGCACTTCCCACGAGTATCCCTGAATCGTAGCAACAACACTAGCAATCCGTCTGCTTGTGATATTAGCGATTCATGAAAGTACTGTTCACGATGCCAGTGTCGTCTCTGACGTGATGCTTACTGCTCCCATTGACCCTAAACCCTAAGCCCCTAATCGAGTGTTTGGTGTTCGGCAGTATCATTCCCTTGCCATCTTTGTTCTAGGACATCTCAGGTAAAGCAGCCCTTGCACCTGTACTGCAGCCGACCTCATTACGCATTTCCCAACATCCTAAACCCTGGAGGATCTGATCCCTGCAGAGCCTCCGCCAGAACCCCCACGCGACCCCCTCCTCCCCGCGCAGCCTCAACGCCTGAGCCCCTGAGGCCGACAGGGAGGCGTCCAAAATCGACTTCGAGATTTGATCTGCGTGACTTAAAAAGGATGCTGAAGTTCAAGGTTTAGGGAGTTTTGGGTTTGAGTTTAGGATTCCCACGTTTCTAGCTCAAAGGTTTGCGTTGACAGCTGAGGGTTTTGGGGCGATTGCTTCGGATTTGCTACTGAGTTCAGACGGTGGTGGAGGCGGACCGGCATCTCATCGACGATTTTGAATCTGAGATTTTCTAACTTTAACAATCCTAAGAAACTGGATAGCCCAAATAAAATTATATGACAACTGGGATCTTACCCGAGCTGCCGAATTAGAAATGAATCCTAACCTTACGACAATCGAAATACGATTCCGAGAAATGATTAATCCACTAGCTTATTACAAAATTAATAGTATTAATCTATTTATTTCAAACTCGCCGACTTATATATTTCAAATTCTGATATATCACTCTAAACTAGATCCGAATCTTAGCTTCTGAAAATTCGTCGATTCTCATGATACAGCCGATTTACAACTTCATAGTATGCGCACGATAATCGGATCTATTTATTTCAAAATCTGGGAATTCGTCGATATATAATTTCAAATTCTGATTTATTACTAATCTATTCATTTGAGAATTCTGGATAAATCCTAGCCCTATTAGAATCGGATCTCAAGATCTGAGAAATTATCGACTCGCTTATTTCAACTTTGGATTATAATCGAAATCAGGCCTCTTGATTAGACCCTTTGAGAATTGGGTGCGGGTCAAACCCTTCTGATTTATAATGGGGCCGGGGCGCCGCTTGCGCGACAAAATTTATAATAACATGGGTTTTTTGCGACAAGGCTGGCACGATAAGGTCCATTATGTGGCATTGCCGCGCGATAAAGATTTGTAACAAAGCCGGCGCGACAAGGGTTTGTAACAGAGGGGGGTGGGGCCCCGCGACAAACGGGGTATTGTCTTATCCCCAATTGAGAAATCGCCGATTCATTTATATTAAGCACTGAGAAATCGAGTATATATACTACTTATATCTATCTCTGAAATATAATTAATGAAAATCAATTTTCAAATAATTCCTTCAGAAATATATCTTTGAATTATAAGATACCTAGGAATTTGGAATCGACCAGAAGAGATTTTAATATTGATGCAAATACTAGTAATCGATGATTTCATATTATATTATAGCGATTCTCAGATATTTAGGAGCTTATGAATTGCTGCAAAAGGAAGTTTGTTTTTTTAGCAGCGAGACGAGTAATCGATGGTTTAACCAGATCTCAGCCAAATCATATCTAGATCATATCTGAATCACGGCCTTTGCGAAGTCGCCGATCTTATTTCATATTCTGAGAATTCGTAGATCTGCTTATATATAAGCTCTGAGAAATCTCCGATTAATTTATATTAATCTCTGAGATATCGCGAATTCGCTGATATCAGGCCATGAGGAATCATTAACCTATTTTTTTCAGAAAGGAGTCGAATCATAATCGAATCATAACCATATCATTTCAGAATGGACCTTCTTGGGAGTGTTTTTTTGCATATTTTGTGCGCTCTTAGACATGCCAAATACAGATAGGAATCGCAACTAACCATATCGGCAGATAGCACAACCAATGCAGACGCCGAAAAGAGAAATATAAGAACTACGAGAAATACAAAATCAAAAAAATGTAAAAACAAAACCAAAAAACCAAAAAAATATCAACATCAAAAAGAAAAACAAAAACAAACAAAAAAACAAACAATCAAAAAATAAACAAAAACAAAAAAAACAATCTTTCGATACTTTGGCCTCATCCATATATCTATATATATATATATATATTTCTGAGAGTTCCTAAATATTGTTTTTTTTTGTTTTTCTCTTGCCCTGTCCCTGGTCGTGTTGTTGGTTTTGCGCGCGCGGCTACCTGTGCGCAGGGAATCTGCGTGAGGTCGTCCCTTCGTGCCAATCAACAGAACTTCAAAGTTGCATCTTTCCATATTATTGTTGGCTATTTTATTATATGCTGCAATATCGGCAGCACTGTTCTATTGGTATAAGCCCTTATAAATCGTATATCTTAGCACTAGGGCGCCACTTCGAGACCAAGCCTAGGGCAACAAATCGTAGGTCGTAGCATCGGGGCACCACTTCGAGGCCAAAGCAACGACATCAAATCGGATATCTTCACATTGGGGCACCATTTCCAGACCAAAGCAACGGCAAAAATCGTGCATGATCGAATTGGGGCACCCACTTCGAGACCAAAGCACCCGTAACAAATCGTATATCCTAGCATTGGGGTACCGCTTCGAGACCAAAATAGCAGCACCGCATCGGTTCATCTTGGTATTGGGGCATCACTTCGAGATCAAAGCAGCGGCAACAAGTCGTGCATCATAGAATCGGGGCACCACTTCGAGATCAAAGCAACGGCAACAAATCGTATATCTTAGCATTGGGGCACCACTTCGAGACCAAAGCAACGGCAACAAATCGTACATCTTAGCATTGGGGCACCACTTCAAGACCGAAACAACGACAATAAATTATACATCTAAACACTGGGATACCACTTCGAGAGCAAAGCAAAGGCAACAAATCGTACAACTAAACATTGGGGCGCCACTTGGAGGCCAAAGCCACTGCAACAAATCGTACACCTTATCAATGGGTTACCACTTCGAGACCAAAGCAACGGCAACAAATCGTACATCTTAGCATTGGGGCACCACTTGGAGGCCCGAGCAACGGCATCAAATCATTTATCTTGGCATTGGGCCACCACTTCGAGACCACAGCAACGGCAACAAATCGTACATCTTAGCATTGGGGTACCACTTCGAGATCAAAGCAGCGGCAACAAATCGTACATCTTAGCATGGGGGCACCACTTCGAGGCCAGAGCAATCGCACATCTCAGCAATGGGGCGCCACTTGGAGGCCAAAACAACGGTAAAAAATCGTATATGCTAGCATTGGGGCACCACTTCGAGACCAAAGCAACGGCAACAAATCGTCCATCTTAGCAGTGGGGCACCACTACCATTTCGAGACCAAGCCAACGGCATTTTAGCATTGGGCCACCATTTCCAGGTCAAAGCAACGGCATCAAATCGTACACCTTAGCAATGGGGCACCACTTCGAGACCAAAGCAACGATAACAAATCGTTTATCTTAGCGTTGGGGCACCATTTCGAGACCAAAGCAATGACACTAAATCGTATATCTTGGCAGTGGGCCACCACTTCGAGACCATAGCAACGGTATCAAATCGTACATCTTAGCATTGGGGCACCACTTCGAGACCAAAGCAATGACAACAAATCGTACATCTCAGCATTAGGATACCATTCGAAACCAAAGCAACGGCAACAAATCGTACATGATAGCATTGGGGCACCACTTCGAGACCAAAGCAACGGCAATAAATCGAACATCTAAACACTGGGACACCACCTCGAGACCAAAGCAATGGTAACAAACCCTACATCTTAGCATTGGGGCACCACTTCGAGACCAAAGCAACGTCAACAAGTCGTATATCTCAGCATTGGGGCACCACTTTGAGACCAAAGCAACATCAACAAATCGTACACCTTAGCAATGGGGCACCACTTCGAGGCCAAAGCAACGGCAACAAATCGCTTATCTTCGAATTGGGGCACCACTTCTAGACCAAGCCTAGGGCAACAAATCGTACATCTTAGCAGTGGGGCACCACTTCGAGACGGCAATAAATCGTACATCTTAGCATTGGGCCACCACTTCGACAAAGCAACGGCAACAAGTCGTAAATCTTAGCATTGGGGAACCACTTCGAGACCAAACCCACGGCAGGGTAAAACTTTGCATTGGGGCACCACTTCGAAGCCAAAGCAACGGCAACAAATCGTTCATCTTAGCAATGGGGCACCATAGCATTGAGGCACCACTTCGAGACGAAAGCAACGGCACCAAATCGTAAATCTTGGCAGTGGGGGCACCACTTCGAGACCAAAGCAACGGCAACAAGTCGTACATCCTAGAATCGGAGTTCCACTTCGACAAAGCAACGGCAACAAATCGTACATCTTAGCATTGGGCACCCTTTGGAGGCCAAAGCA